TTTACAATTTTTAATTACATTTTAGCTTCGATGCGAAGCTGAGAAGGTATTAATTTTACTATGATGTGTTTTTTTTTTTTTTTTGTGTCTGTATACTCTCAATCTCAGCTCTCACTGAACCAATTTTGTAGAAAAATATGTCAAAAGATCACAAATCGTATCTAGTTGAAGACATTACCCTCAAAAATTGAAAAAAAATCCCTCGTTCTTCGTAAACGGGGGAAATCCCCCAAAAAATTACAAATTTAAAAATCGCTAATTTTCGATATTTTTTCATTTTTTTTTACTTAAAATTGCCATAACTTTTTTAAAAATGACCGAATCAATATGTTTTTTTTTTTTATAGATACCTTAGATAATTACCTATCATTTTATATATTTTTGTGAACATTTGACCCTTTAACAGCCCAAAGGATGGGGTTTCAAAATGGTAACTTTTTTACAAAAAATTAACTTTTTCAACTTAACTTTTGAAAATGTTCCGGAAAGACTGACACTTTTATATATATCTTAAATTAAAGCTAATGTAATATACTTTAATTTGAAAAAAAAAAATTTGACCTCTGGACTTGTCTTCATGGTGAAAATGACTACCGTATGCAAAAATATGCTATTTTTGTGAAAAAATTCTTGATATTATATTTTACATTTTTTAACATTATGTTGCTATAACTTTTTAAAAAATGCATGAATCAACTTTATTCTTTAATGATAAATACTTTATATATACTTCTTTCATTCGACATACTTTTTTTTAAAATCGGACCATTTCCCTTTATACAGGGGGGGTGCAAACCTTTTAAAATGCGTATAGAAAGTAGAACTTTTTCAACTTAACTTTTGAAAATGTTCCGGAAAGACTGACACTTTTATATATATCTTAAATTAAAGCTTATGTAATATACTTTAATTTGAAAAAAAAAAATTTGACCTCTGGACTTGTCTTCGTGGTGAAAACGGACATCAAAGTTAAAGAAAAACGTACGATTTCCGTGAAAAAAATCTCGATTTTATATGTTATATTATTTAATTTATATTTTATATAACTTTTGGAAAAATGTATGGATCAATATTATTATTTTTTTATAATAAATATTTATATACTCCTTTCATCTACACGCTTTTTTTGTAAATCGGATCATACCCCTTTAACAAGGGGGGTCAAAACTTTAATCATGCGTATTGTTACTATGATATTTTCAATTTAATTTTTGAAAGTATTCCGGAAATACTGACACTTTTATATATATCTTAAATTAAAGCTTATATAATATACTTTAATTTGAAAAAAAAAAATGTGACCTCTGGACTTGTCTTCATGGTGAAAATGACTACCGTATGCAAAAATATGCTATTTTTGTGAAAAAATTCTTGATATTATATTTTACATTTTTTAACATTATGTTGCTATAACTTTTTAAAAAATGCATGAATCAACTTTATTCTTTAATGATAAATACTTTATATATACTTCTTTCATTCGACATACTTTTTTTTAAAATCGGACCATTTCCCTTTATACAGGGGGGGTGCAAACCTTTTAAAATGCGTATAGAAAGTAGAACTTTTTCAACTTAACTTTTGAAAATGTTCCGGAAAGACTGACACTTTTATATATATCTTAAATTAAAGCTTATGTAATATACTTTAATTTGAAAAAAAAAAATTTGACCTCTGGACTTGTCTTCGTGGTGAAAACGGACATCAAAGTTAAAGAAAAACGTACGATTTCCGTGAAAAAAATCTCGATTTTATATGTTATATTATTTAATTTATATTTTATATAACTTTTGGAAAAATGTATGGATCAATATTATTATTTTTTTATAATAAATATTTATATACCCCTTTCATCTGGCACGCTTTTTTTGTAAATCGGATCATACCCCTTTAACAAGGGGGGTCAAAACTTTAAACATGCGTATTGTTACTACGATATTTTCAATTTAATTTTTGAAAGTATTCCGGAAATACTGACACTTTTAAATATATCTTAAATTAAAGCTTATGTAATATACTTTAATGTGAAAAAAAAAAATTTGACCTCTGGATTTGTCTTCATGGTAAAAATGACTACCGTATGCAAAAATATGCTATTTTTGTGTTAAAATTCTGGGTTTTGTATTTTATTTTATTTTAAAATACCTGACAAGGGGAGTACAGATTTTCATAAATATTATATAAATTAAAATTGATATAGTATAGATAGTTAAACTTATTTAAATATGTTTGTTTCTTTTAAGTCGAGAAAAATAACTTTGAAATTTGAACTAGCTTAAATAGCCAATTTTTCAACCACCGGAAGCAACGTACGGTTGCCGAGTTGCTAAAATTTATGTTTTACACGCTTGGGGTACGAGGTTCCAACCCGCGTATGACAATAAATTTTTTGCATTTTTCTTAATTCTTTTTAAGTTGGTATAAATTTTAACTCGTTTAGATTCAATAACTTCAATAAAGATAAATGATCCCATCACTTTAGTCGCCCCTTGCAAGAAGAAATTTCTTATTCGTATTAAAATTATTTTACTATATTTTAAGTTTTAGCTTCGATGCAAAGCCGAGAAGATGTTTTTTTGTGAATATCATTTATTTTCTCTGCTCTAACTTGACCTACTTTTTTCAACGATACGTCCAATGACTACAATTCGTATCTAGTTGAAGATATTACTCTCAAAAATTGAAAAAAAAATTCTAATTTATCAATTAAACAGTTAGTTATTACATCGTCTCCATAAAGACAATTAAAATCATTAATTTCTAATGTTTTCAAAATATTTATTAACGAATGAAGTTTGATATGATAGGTTTCAACTACAAAATTAAATCATTTTACTTTGTAATTTAATAATTTTTTTACTCTATTTGTGTGTGCTACTACTAGACTATAATATTACAATTTTTTTTTGTAACATGTTGCTATATAAATCATTTCTAAAAAAAATGATTGTTTTTTCTCCTGAATTAACAATTGATTTTTACAAATATAATCAAATTTTATAATACACTCAATTGAGTAAATCTTTTTAACAACTTTGTTTTGATTGGTACATTTAGTTAAAGTAAATCATTAAAATTAATTAAGTTCTCAATATTTCAATTATAGAATCTTTTCAACAAACAACAAAAGTTCCTAGGAAATTATTACTATTACTTCTATTTAAGTTATCTATTACCATAAAAATGCAAAAAAATATTGAGCTTTTCTGATAAATTTACAATAAATAGTAATTATAAAACTTTCTGACTGCATATTGATCTTAACGATACAATTTTTTTAATTGTCATAAAATTTTCTATTTAATGATGTCAATGTAAAACTTGCCAATTGAGCTAAAAGTTATGGTAAAATAAATTTTTTTTTTTTTATTATTAACATTTACAACAATCAACTTTAGACGATTAACAAAATAGGTTAAATATGTCATTTTCCTTATTTTTAACTTATTAATAATCAAATTAATATTAAATATTATATCAAATCAGTATTAATTTAAAACAATTTTTTTTGTTCTTAATTATTTTTTTTTATATGTAAAAACTATTTTTTAATAATATTAAAACTTAGAAGTTATAGAAAAAGTCTAATTGCACATTTTAAAACATCGCGAAAAGTTGATTTAGAATAGTATATTTTTGTTTCTGATGGAAGTTCCTTGTAGTCCAGTGTATAAAACTTATAACTTTGTTAATTGTTATAACTTTATCAAAAATGACCAAATCAGTATATTTTTTTTTATTTAGATGCATGTCTTTATCTATCATTTGGTTTTTTTTATAAATCTAACCCTTTACCTGCCCACAAGAGGGATTCAAAATATTAACTTTTTTTTTTTTAGTTAAAGTAAATCATTAAAATTAATTCAGTTCTGGATATTTCAATAGTAGAATCTTTTTAAATATCAAAAATTACTTAGAAATGATTACTATGATTTCTATTTAAGTGTTCTATTACGATAAAAATGCAAAAAATAATGAGTTTTTCTGATAAATTTACAATAAATAATAATTATAAAACTTTCTGACTGCATATTAATCTTAAAAATAACATTGTTTTAATTCTCATAAAATTTTCTATTTAATGATTCATTCTAGTCAACGAAGGAGTAATTTTGCAGAATAGCAGAAAAAATTCCCAACAAACTTTTTTTTTTTTTGTTTTAATTAGGCAATTGGTGGATTATTCCAAAAGCAACATCAACTCTTATTTCTTTAATTATATCATGATTAGTAGTTCTTTGATTTTAAAATATAATATTTGAATATATACTAATTATAATTATTAAATTTAGTATGAAATTGATATTTAATATTGTAATTTAAACGGAGAAATTATAAAAATAATAAAGAAGTTATATTTTGCTTTACTTTTACGTGTATAAAAATTTAAAGGGCTTGATACAATAATTTTCAATAAAAACTGTTTGTTACTATAAAAAAATGCACTGGACTACAAGGAACTTTCATCAGAAGCAAAAATATACTTTTCTAAATCAACTTTTCGCGTTGTTTTCAAATCTGCAAGTAGACTATTTCTATCACTTCTAATTTTTTATATTATTACTAATTATATATATAAAATAATAATTAAAAGAAAAAAAAATTTGTTTTCAAATTATTACTGATTTGATTTTTAATATGTTAAAAATAATCAGTCCAAATTTTCAATTTTAACCTATTTTTTTGGTTCTTTAAAGTTGATGAAAAATTTTTGATAAAGATTTATGAAAGTTTATAGTAAAATAAATTGAATATATTACCATAACTTTTAGCTCAATTACAAGTTTAAAATTGACATCTAGGCCAGTCAACAAAGGAAAAATTGCGGAAAAAATTTTGTTTTTTTAAAAGTTGAATTAAAATATGTATAATGACATACTAATAGTCCTCAAGACTGGAATTGAGCTTTTTTTTTACAGCCTCGCAAAAGTCCAAAATATGAGCTTTTTTAATTTTCTCAAAAAATATTTAACTTAAAAAAAAAGTTTCGCTACAAAAGTTGTTTAAAAGACAATTATAAACAAAAAAATTATCTTATATTTTTTCATTTAAACAAATATTTTTCGAGTTACATTACATTTAATATGAGTACTAAAATTTATATTCCATTTTTTTCATTTTACGGTTACTTTTTATCATGTTACACTTACGTTAGACACAATGTTATAAATGCATATGTGTGTATGTGTGAGTTTATTTATTTATTGTATCATTAAAGTGTAGTGTATATTAATATACAAGCGATAGAGTAGGTAATTGATTTGACGCTATATTATTTAAACCCAACTAAACGCTAAATTGTACATTCCGAAACTACAATCATATTATGTCAATTGCCACCGGAATTTCTGGTAATATTTTTCTTTTTCTTTGCCTTAATCCCAACTACTTGGGGTCGGCCACCCTTATCCTAAGCTTCCACTTGACACGATCTCCCACATCTTCTACGCTCACATCAGCTGTCCTCAAATCGCATTCAATAGCATCCCTCCATCTCTTTTTTGGTCTTCCTCTATCTCTTCTTCCTTCAACATTCATTTCTATAACTGTTCTTACAGCTTTCGATTCTTCTTTCCTCATACCATGACTAAACAATCTAAGTCTATTTTCTGTCATCTTATCCACGATTGACGCAACACCTATACTTCCTCTTATATGCTCGTTCCTTATCCTATCTTCTCTAGTCACTCCACTCATCCAACTAAGCATTCTCATCTCTGCTACACTTATTCTCTGCTCTACTTTCTTATCAACCGCCCAACACTATGAACCATACATCATAGCTGGCCTCACAATTTCATACTAAATTTAAAAACTATAATTAGTATTTATTCATATATTATATTTTAAAATCAAAGAACTACTAATCAGGATATAATTAAAGAAATAAGAGTTCATGTTGCTTTTAAAATATTTCACCAATTTCTCTAAAGGAAACACTATCTACAGATTTGCATCGAAGCGTTTCTTATGATAGTGATTTTAATCACTGTCAGATATCATCTATACTTGTCCCATCTATGCCTCGTCCACACTGTGCCTCGACACCACTGTGCTACCGTTTTTATAAATCTTTATACTCTTAACTCTTTACCTGCCCACAAGTGGGATTCAAAATTATAACTTTCTTTTTATAATTATCCCTTAAACCAATCCTATTCCAAAAAACTTGTATAGTTTATATATTCAATATGTAAGAGTTATTATTTCACTTGTTTGTAATAATTGATTTATTTCAATTGCTATTTGAACACCCTTTCCTGTATTCTCTTATTTTATTACCTATTTAATCGCAAAATAAAAAATTAATCGATAATTTTTATTTATTATATTAATTCTCTAAAGCCTAGAAATTCGTAATCAGTATTAATAATTTTTTCACAAAATTTATTCATATATATGCAAATATGTTCAGAAATAGAATGATTACATTTGGTTGAACTCTTCTTTGATTTTATAAATAAACGTTTAAGTTTTATTGGATGTACAAATGCCTTTGAAAATTCGCATTGATATTTTGTGTTTAAAGGCATTTCATATCGTAAGCCTTTTTTTAACTTTTCGTGGAACCTAGATAATTGGTCAATATACGTCTTTGCTTTTACTTCATTCATGGTTTTTGTACTTTCAGATGAACAAATATTGAGAGCTTTTAAGTCGTAAACATATTCCGTTATATGACTAGCTAATTTTTTTAAACAATTTGGGGCTTTTTTGTTATATTCCCAAATACATGTTTTTTTTAGTATTGCCATTGCAGATAATAAGGATTTTAGCATATTAATAGACAACGATACTGATAAGCGTAGTTGATTTATGCATAGTATAGGCTGATTATTAGTACCTATTAATTTGCTATCTCTAAATGAGTTAATTATGGTAGTCAAGATAATGCTATAATTTTTAATTATTTCAATGTACCTACACCTCAGAAATTGTTCAAAATATGTTTCTATTTGGGTTAAGTTTTCGGAGTTCACTTCATTTTGAAATAATATACTCGCGTCTATTTTTTCAAAATTTTCTAAGATAATTTTAATATTTTTAAATGGCTCAAAATTTTGTTTTGCAAATAATTTGTTTAATGCAATAGTTCTATGTTCGGTAGTTTCAACTTTCAATGGTGGCACAAGTCTATAAGAACACAATTATTTCATTAATATAGGTTTAATAATTTTATTAGTTAAAAAATATAAATTATAATAATAAAATACACTACATTTGTACCAAAATACAGTGTATAGTAAACACAATATATTAAAATATGTATTCGTTATCTTGATAATTCTTCATACTTTGTAGAAAATTATGTTGTATCATTAATACAATTTTAGCTTCGATGTGAAGCTGAGAAGGAATTCATTTTTCTAATATGCGTTATTTTTAATAGATATATTAGGTTTACCTATTACCTATTACCTATTAATAATATTTACCTATTATTCAGTATATATATTTTTTTAATTATGACCCGTTACCTATCCACAGAGAGGATTCAAAATTGCAATTTTTTTTTAAAAAGTCAACTTTTTCAACTTAACTTTTGAAAATGTTCTGGAAATAATGCGTTTTTTTAATATATATTAAATTAAAGCGTATGCTACGTACTATAAGTTAAACAAAAATTTGTCTAGAAGACCTATCTTCTATTTGCAAATAATAGTCGAAGTTGAACAAAAAATAAGAGTTAATTATGCTTTTGGAATAATCCACTTATTTCATAAAAATAAACACTATCAACAGAAGTGTTGCATCGAAGCATCGAAGTGTTTTTTATAATAGTGATTTTAATCACTGTCAGATATCATTTATTCTTATCCCAACTATCCCACGTCCATATTGTGCCGACACTCCACTATGCTACCGTTTGTTAATTTCCTTAAGTATAGATAAATACTGATTCAATACTTACAATTCTGGTTTTTTTTTCATATAAATAAATAATAAATAACGGAAAGTAGATATGTTGAAATAAATTATTATTATTATTATTATACTTATTATTTAATATTCAGATTTATAACAAATTTTTGATTGAGTATTAAACAGAATAAAACTTATTCGCACTAATCACTAACATCTTAACCAATTGATCACTAAAATATATAATCAGGGTAATTCTTTTGACGTTCGAAATAGATATTGAAATGTTTATAGTTTGACTTAGCGTAGATCAAATTATTTAAATTTAAATACACGCTGATACATCATTAAAACTTGTCTGATTTCATTAAATAATCATTTCTGTGAGCTCAAAAGAACAATTATTATAAACTGTACTATTTTAATTTATGTAATTTTATGTGTTACGAACATAAAGTTTTATTATTATTATTATTAAATTACTAACATTAAGATGCAACGCTAATACACCATTAACAATTGTGTAGGACTCATTGACAATTAAATATCATTAATTTATTTTTAAATTATAATTAATTGCTGTAAGCATAAAGCTAAAAATAGTAACTATAATGCAATAATTTTTATAATTATTAACTTTACCCAGGCACAATTGGATGTAATAATTCTTGAAATCCAAGGTTATCTTTCTCGTTTTTGATAGTTTCTTTATAAAATACTATAAGATAATCATAAATAAAATGCACAAAACTTATGTCATTTTCTTTCTGTAATACGTGTTTCTCGTACTTTTCTAGCAAACAGTTATGAACAAGATTACTAGTTATATTACAGGTTTTATCAAAATATGAGAGATTATTTAACATATCAGTTATTTTAGCATGGAAATGTTTGATATTTAAAAAATCCTTGCGAGCATCATCTATACCAAAATCATTCAATTTTATGTTAGTATATGACTTTGTTTTTAATAAAGTGTATGTAAAAACATTATAAATCTCTTTAATTATTGTAATGGGAACTTCATATCTAGAGCTTAAAGTTTCGACTACCAAGTTTTTGATAAATACTAAAATCTCATATAAAGTATTAAACATGTCATTTGAATTACAAACAACATCTTGAATTAATTTACTGCATACAATATATTTGTCAAATAATTTTTTATTGTAATAATTTTCACATTCACTTATCATGGTCTTTATGTGACCGTCATATATTTTCAAATATTTCGCATATCTATAGTTTATTAAACTAACTATAGATCTGAATATTGGAGGTCTAAAGTATGATTCTTTAATATTTTGATTTATAAATGTGTTAAATGACACAGAGTCGTCTACCATGCTAATGTTATTCCATAAACTTAATTTCTCTTGAAATTGATTATAATATATAATATGATTTATGACATTAACTAAATATAATTCGAGCTCATATTTTTCATTATAATGAGTTGTTAAAACATATTTCAAATTTAACAAAATTGAAACACTAAAATAAAGGTTTATGTTCATTTTTTTCTAAAAACATGCGAAACAAATACCGACAATAAAATCAGTTAAAACTTAAATGACAATATTAGTAAAGCATTCGCCTAATATAACACCTTAAAATTTTTTATTTAGATAGTGAACATTTACCAGTTAAGCATTTTTAGACAACGTTTATTTTAAGTTTTATCTTATTGGGCATATGTAAACATAAAAATAATTTTACAATTTGACTAATATTTTTTGAAATTAAAACGCACTTTTAGCTTCGATGCGAAGCGGAGAAGGTATTAATTTTACTATGATGTGTTTTTTTTTTTTTTTTGTGTCTGTTACCACTTTTTCTCAGCTCTCACCGAACGGATTTCTTTCAACAAAAGATCAAAAGATCACAAATCGTATCTAGTCGAAGACATTACCCTTCAAAATTGAAAAAATTTCCCTCGTTCCCCGTAAATGGGGGAAACCTCCAAAAAAATTACAAATTTAAAAATCGCTAATTTTCGAAATTTTTTCACTTTTTTTTCTTAAAACTTCCATAACTTTTTGAAAAATCAACAAATTAACATAAATTTTTTTTATACTAAAACTTTAGATATTTACCTTTCATTTGATATCATTTTTTTGAAAATCTATCACTTAACCTGCTCTTGGGGGGCATTTAAAATAGCAACTTTTTTACAAAAATTAACTTTTTCAACTTAATTTTTGAAAATGTTCCGGAAATACTGTGTCCTTCAAACATATATAAAATTAAAGATTATTTTATGTACTATAAAATGAAAAAAAAAATTTGTCCCGACACTTTTCTTCTACATTTAAATGGCTGCCGTAGTTAAAAAAACACTATTTTTGTGTTAAAATTTTCGATTTTAAATTTTCAACTTAAAAATGCTATAACTTTTTGAAAAATGTATATATCAGCACAAATTTTTTTTTTCTAAATACATTATAAGTACATCTTTCATTTGACATACTTTTTATTAAAATTGGACAATTTCTCCTTATATAGGGGGCGTTCAAAACTTAAAATATTGTAAAAAACATAGATCTTTTTCAACTGAACTTTTGAAAATGTTTCGGAAATACTGTGTCCTTCAAACATATATCAAATTAAAGCTTATTTTATGTACTATCAAATAAAAAAAAAAAAATTTGTCCCGACATCTTATCTTCTATGTGCAAATGGCTGTCGAAAATTAAAAAAAAAATGTAATGTTTTTGATAAAAATGACCTTTTATCGGGATGTTTTTTGTACTTAAAACTGCCATAACTTTTTCAAAAATGAACAAATAAAAATAATATTTTTTTGTATTGAAACCTTAGATATTTCCCTTTCATTTGATATAATTTTTTTTGAAAATCTAACACTTATTCTGCTCACTGAGGGGATTTAAAATAGTAACTTGTAACGTCATAAATTCAAAGGTGGACCGTTTATGATTTTTTGTTATGTCTACTTATTTATTTTATCGCGCGAAAGAACCTTTTTCTGGCACAGCGGTGTCAACCACTCATTATTTTGCCTCTGACCGCTAGATAAGGCGATAAAAGAGAAATATAATTAAAATCGAATTGTTTATCAGTATTGATCCCTTCCAAAAAGACTGGCCGTTATCGATATGAAATTGCCGTTAGATCGGTGTTGACTCTCTCTATTCTTCTTCTGTCATTGACCGTACTAGGGTGCACACATTTGTTGTTTTATTGACATTTTTTTTTCAATGATGGAGTGAGCCGCCAACGGCGAAAAAGGTCTTTTCGACGAAGCATCCAGACCATCGGATGGGTCTCTTCGGAGACCGGGTATCGTTTTCTTTTTTATATTATATTTATGTAATGAGCTATATTTTATTAATTATTTTATTTCATTTTATTTTATTGTAAATTAACTTAATTTTGTTTATGTGTGGAGAGCACGTGTTTCCCTTTTCTTCTAGCCAACGCTAAGGAGCGAGTGTCCAGACCGCTCCTGGTGTTCTTCATTAATTTCCGATTAACATTAACGGATGTGTTCCAATACCGTCCGTGATGTTTGTAATATTATTTGTTTAAATATTTTATTTTATTTGTATTGCCTTTATTTGTAGACATGGTTTTTGATGCATTCGCATTTTTGTCCATGTTTAACTTAATTTTCTTTTTTTAACAATTAAATTAAATTTCCTTATTAATTTCAATTGTAATATTTATTTTATTGCGCGAGTAACTTAATTACTCGCGTGTATTTCATTCCTATTCCCCTTAATCTAGACACTGGCTACGGTATGTTTTACATATCAACCACATACAATTTTGATTGTCATAATTGTGTTCTATAAACCACGAGGCATTATAGTAATTTATACATATAACGACATATTAACTTAGATTATACTTTTAATTAACTTAAAATTAAATTCCACCTATGGTCCGGTAATCATATCTGATAGGTGTGACACCTCGCCTAGGTGGTGGCGACCCTTGCTACTCTAGCTAGTCGTTATGCAAGTGGCAAACCACGTTGTTGTTACAGGCCAATTTGCTAATATAAAAGCCCGCTTGCAGAATGGCGACCCTAGCCAGGATAAGACATAAATGTCTTTACTTACTTTTTCTCACAATAAACCTTTTCATTTAACGTAAAAATAATTTAATCAGTACGTTATTTGACTTATGGTTTGGGGGGTATAAACATGACGCCAGAACATTGGTCACGTGCCTTGGGAAATGTTTTATTCTCTTATCGTAGTTACAATAATTGTACTAATTTTATTTATTATATTCAATTTTCATTT